TCAGGTCATGATCCCAGGGTCCTAGGATTGAGCCCTAAGTCAGGCTCCCTGCTCAGAGGGGAGACTGCTTCTTCTTCTACCACTCCTTGCCAACTGTGATCTCTCCCTCTCTCCCTCTCAGATAAATAAATAAAATCTTTAAAAAAATAAATAGGTATAAAATATTTTAAAAGATATTCAAGTGAGATATAAATACAAGATTACTAGCAAGAGTAACAACATTCAGTTTACTCTCTAAATTTTTTTCCTCTCAGCTTTTTTTTTTTCTAAAAATACAGACCAGGAATCTTCAGTTAACTTTCTCATTCATGAATTTTATTCATACATATTGTGGATTTGAGAGGCTTATTGTTTAATTTTTATGTGGTAGAATTTGTTACTAAAATGTATCAAATTTAATTCTAAAAATGATCAGATTGAAATTAAAATTTAGTTTTTCTCTATTAAATTAGCTTTTGCTAATTAAGTTTAAATTTAATTTAAATTATAATACTCAGTTTAAATTAAATTTAGCTTTTGCTCAACTATGAATAAAACAGTTTTTTCACAAATATCCTAAGAAAAACTTTTAAGCATCAAAACAGAAAGCTTCTACTTACTATCTTCCCATCATCAGCATACTCTAGTACAATTCATCTACTTTCTTTCATTGACTTTTAAAGAAAGGTAAAAACATTAAGCTTAACATTTAGTTGGAGTGTGTCACATCATATAACACCTACCATACCAGAACTGATAGGTAACCAATAACATTAACCATTTACAAGAACTAGATTGTCAGATGAAATCACAGCAACTACTGATTAGGTCCATATTTCAAAAATTCAAGCATTTGAGGACCAAAATATACAAAGCAATGAATACCGGCACAAAATGAAAAACTTTCATCTAAAGAAACTGTGAACAATTCCAGTTATTACATTTGATAAGAATTCTAGCAGATCCCCAGAGGACAACATATAATAATCAATAAGGTAAAAAAGATTATAGTAACAAATTTAAATTTAAAAATGGGATGGCGCCTCTTAATCTGGAATAAAAATGTATTATTTCATAAAATATTAATTCTATAAAATCTAAACCCTGCAATGGGAGATTAAGAGGATCCTTATAAACTGAAAGTGTGATATTTAAAACATCTAGAAGACAAGAAAACTCAACAATTATCCATAAAAACTAGTACATGCTAGAAATGAATAAAACATTAGGAAGAGGATTTTTTTTTTAAGGTTTTATTTATTTGAGAGATAGAATGAGAGGAGAGAGCATGAGATGGGAGAGGTCAGAGGGAGAAGCAGACCCCCTGCCAAGCAGGGAGCCCAATGTGGGACTAGATCCTGGGACTCTGGAATCATGACCTGAGCCGAAGGCAGTTGTTTAACCAACTGAGCCCAGGCGCCCCTGGAAGAGGTTTTAAAACTCATGAGCAATCACTAAAGGAAATATACAAACAAAAGATTTTTTTAGAGAGTGTGTAGGTGTGAGCAAGCAGGGTGGGGGGAGGGGCAAAGGGAGAGAGAGAGAAAGAACCTCAAGCAGGCTCCACACCCAGCACAGAGCCTGAGCCAAGGGGTGGGGTGGGGGGGGGGCCTCAATTTTATGACCCTGAGATCATGACCCAAGCCAAAATCAAGAGTAGGTCGCTTAACCAACTGAGCCACCCAGGCACTCCAGAAATAAACAAATTTTAATTTAATATTAATTTAATATTGAACAATCATACTTATATTCTTCAGCTTATTTTTGGAGACTACATCCTGAGTTGCACAAACCACAGATTTGATCCAGTATGTCAATTTTTATATTTTAAATTATTATTTGCCACATCTCTTATAAGTGCATTAAATGCTTTCTTATGTTTCTAGCACCCTGAGTATTTTCCTCCCCATTTATCTGGGATTAAATTGGACTATGGCTTATGATGGGCTCACAGATGATATTCTCAAATCACTTGAGTAATACTAAACTTTAGTAATATTAATTTCCTAAATTAGCTGATATGAAAGAATGTTCTAATTCAATCCTCTCTGTGGCATTACCACACAGAATGGCTTGTTTTGTGCCCTAGGTAAAAATGTGTTATAAAACAGATTACAATGAATCTTCAGTATCTAGGTGCTCTGGTATTTTACATTTTAAATAGGAAGGTATGAATACTGACATCAAATTTGTTGAGTAAAATTAAAACAAAAGCCAAACAAGAAAGCAGAAATTCACCAGAAAAATTAAATTATTTCACATTTTTTAAGAATGAAAGTAGGAAGTAAAAAAAATCCCTAAAATTTACCATTAGATTTTCTTTCTTTTCTTCCTTCCTTTCTGTCCCTCTCTCCCTTTCTTTCCCGTCCATTCTTCCTTCCTTCCTTTCCTTTTCTTTCTTTCTTTCAATTTTAAGTTATCTCTACACCCAACGTGGGGCTCAAACTCACAATCCTGAGATCAAAAGTCCCATCCTCCCTGGAATCAGCCAACCAAGTTCCCCCACTGAAAAATCTGTTTTATTTTTTCTTGATTGAAATTGTTTCTAATGTATAACAAGTCAAACATACAAAATATAAATGCTGTCAAAATATTATTGCCAAAGTTTTCCTGTTTCAGGACACTCTAGAAACCTAGACGTTCTTTCATTAGTACCATATCCTAATGGGAAAGACCCTGGGTTTTAGTCTAAGATTCAATACTTTGAGTGCCAGTGGATGGGTCACTTAATGTTTCCGGATTCTTGGTTTTCTCCCTGCCTTTTCTTCATTATAAAATTATTTAAAAACCTACAGTTAATACATGACATATATGCTTTTAAAACTCTACATAGCTATAAAGTGTTATTTCACTTCAGGAACTAATATGGTATAGATGTTCAATAAAGATTAGTAGTGATTCAAGAATTGCTTATGACCCATAAAAAGGGTTTCAATTCTGTTCGGTGCTACCAAAAAGAGGCCTTTCCTTCAGGCAATGACTATGTTTTCAGTGGTTCCCAAAGCTGGCTGCTCAGATTGATGTTTAAGAGTCACTGCTTCTAAAAAGGTTTCATCTCTGAGATTAAATTCAGACAACCCAAGAGAAACTGCAAGGCATACACACTTCTTGATTTGAAAATCAGACTCAGGGTAGGAAGGGATAAAAAATGATAAGCACCCAGGAAATGACATTATTTCCTATCTACCCAAGAGTCTGACTGCTGTCCAAACTCATCTCTTTCATCTTTTTTTTTTAATTTTATTTATTTATTTCACAGAGAAAGAGAGAGATCACAAGTAGGCAGAGAGGCAGGCAGAGAGAGAGGCAGAAGCAGGCTCCCTGCTGAGCGGAGAGCCCGATACGGGGCTCAATCCCAGGACCCTGAGATCATGACCTGGGCCGAAGGCAGAAGCTTAACCCACTGAGCCACCCAGGTGCCCCTTCCCCTTTCATCTTATGCTCATAGCTGACCTCTGCCTCAAAGACAATCATCCACAGATATTCCTCTTCTCCTGATCAGACAACAAGGTTGGGAAGTTTACTTAGACTTTATTATCCCCAGAAGCCGAATAAACTAAAACAAAGAGATTCAACACACAGTCTTTAATATAAAGATTTATAAAAGCAAACAAGGCAATTACCAAAAATTAAAAGAACAGCTAGCTATTATGGTAAAGGTAAGCGAGTTTATTAAGAAATGTAATTTTTAATTAATTCACCATGTACTATCTCCCACAAGTTAATAATAATCTCACAGTCTGTCTTGAATAAACTAGAATGTTTTAAATACTATGAAAATAAAGGGAAACCTCACTAAAATGAGTCAGGAGGCCAGAAGGGGAACCTCTCACACCCTATAACTAGTCACCAACTGCAGACCCCAACAGAAAGAGCGGTACCTTGCATCCCCAACAGGAAGAAGCCCATCCTTTATCTGCAGGAGGAAGAAAGATTTTCACCTTGCCCAGCAACAGCCCAGCCAATGAGAGACTGTCACAACTCAGCCAATGAGAAGCCACTGAACTTTTGTTTACTCCAGTGGACTTCTGTTTGTAACAGCCTTTTCCAACTTCTGCCTTACCTCTGTAGGAGGCCATTCTTTTTTTTTTTTTTTTTTTTTTAAAACAAGGCCATTTTTTGTTCTCTAGATCTGCCTATGGTTTTACCACATCTTGCTTGTCCTGAATTCTAATTCTTTGCTATTCCCAAATAAACCCAATTTTGCTGGTAAAATAACAGAAAGTTTTATTACTAAGGTTAACAACACTAATTGATAAATAGCTAAGATTTCTTTCTTTCACCTAAGAACCTCTCAACCTACCAAGTTTAGGGAAAAAAAAACACAACTTCATACTCATCTACTCCCGTTTCCCTCTCCCCTTAGCACATTTGTCTTGGAAAATGTTACCATAACATTACCTCTGTAATAACCTTGCCCCAAAGATTTAGTCTGAATCTAATCTTGAGCAAACAATTAGACAAAACAAAGGACATTCTGCAAACTAGTCTAGGTACTTAAAACTGTTACAACAGAATGAGCAAATACAAAAAGCCTGGGGAGCTGTTTTAGATTAAAGAGAAATGAAGAACTAAAAAGAACTAAAGAGAAATGACAGGTAAATACAATACGCAGTTCTCTATCACAAACAACATCAGAAAAAAGAACATTATTAGCTATAACGGACACTGTTGGGACAGCTGGGAAAAAAATTATACCAGTATTAAATATGCAAGTGTAATAATAAGTGCAAGGCTGTTATGTTAAAAAAAAAATCATTTTCCTTAAGAGATACACAGTACTTAGAGGTACAATATCACAACTTCTGCAATTAACTCTAAAATGTTTCAGGAAAAAGTTCTGTGTGTGTGCTTATGTGTGTGAATAGAGAGGGAGAGACTCAGCAAATGTGATAAAATGTTAACAACTATTCAAACTCCATTGAGGATATTCAGGGGCTCGTTTTACTAGTATTGCCAATTTTCTGAATGTTTGAAATTTTCAAAAGAAGAAACCGAGGAAGAAATGAAATGTTACTCACTAGTTGTTTAACTTTAACTGCCTGTGGAATCCCAGCTGGCTGTGAAAGGATGGGGCCTGACTGCGCAAGTTTGATCTGTACAGGAGCAATGACGGCCTTGTCAGATGTGGTCCCAGCAGAAGTAACAACAGGTTTCACAGATGGAAGACAGATAGCTGCAGCTGAAGTTTCTCCGAAAGTTACTGATGGAAGGGCCAACGTGACTGCTGTCCCAGAGACAACTGGCTTCTCAGGTTGAAGCGAGACTGCTGTAACTGTGTTCTGAATAGATGTCACAAGCGGTTTTGGAGTCTGAAGCAAAACAGTTCCAGCTGTTGTTCCTCCTGGTACAGCAGCTGGACCCACAGAATGAAGTGTCACAACTCCAGTTTTTGTTCCCCCTGGACCAGCAAGTGGATTCAGAGTCGACACTGACACAGTACTTGGTGTTGTTGCTCCAGAAACAATGATGGGTTTTTCAGATTGGATTGAGCAAACTGTTGTTGTCACCACAGGAGAAGTTGTTGCTGTTGTGGTACAGGTAGCAATGACTACCTCGTTAGAGGTCTGCTGAACACACTGCTGAATAAAGCTCTGGGAGTTGGGCATGAGTTGTCGTAAGGCAATCACACTTTTCTAGAAATAGAGGAGAAAAAAGAACCTGATAACTAAACAAATTAGCTGCTAGTAAAATAGAATTACTTTGTATTTCAGAGCTTTACAACATGAAATAAATCAGAAGTATATCAGGTATTTCAGCTGAGGAAGCCTGATATCACTTGGCAGTCATATCCTAACAATATCCAGGATACAACCAATTTAAAGCCCACCAAGTACTCTATTTTTTCTAAATTTATTTTATTTATATAAATTTATTTATAATTTTATAATTTATTTATAAATTTATTTATTTTCTAAATTATTTTATTTAAAATAAATTTAAAGCCCACAAGTATTTATTTTTCAATACAAAATTATTACCGCTCAGTATTAAATTTATTTTACATCCCTCAAGATCAATTTGGTAAAATAAAACACTGTGTCGTACTTGTTTGTATTTACTTATACCCCGTAATAGATCACTAATAATTTTTCTTATCAGTAAGTTTCTTTACATGACCATAGAATCTAAAAAAAAAGTTTTTGTTAAATAACTTTCAAACTGTGGATAAAAACAGTCTTTAAGTCAAAATAAAACTAATACACGGGACGCCTGGGTGGCTCAGTCAGTTAACTGTCTGCCTTCGGCTCGGGTTATAATCCCGGAGTCTTGGGATGGAGTCGTGCATCGGGTTCCTTCCTCAGTAAAGAGCCTGCTTCTTCCTCTGCCCTGCTGCTCCCCCTGCTTGTGCTCTCTCTGTGATAAATAAATAAAAGCTTTAAAAAAAAAAAAAACAAAATAAAACAAATACAAACACGGGCAATTTCCTTAATGGAGCTAGAATATTTTCTGACTAGATTTTAAGTTGGTATCTCTCCTTGTATCTTTCTGAAAGAGTAAAGGCAATTTGAACTAAAAAGTAGAACACTCTGCCTTTTTATCCCTGGGGGTTTTGTTTCTTTTGTTTTTTGTAAGGGGAAAAAAATGGAAAAGTAGGTAGACAGCAGATTATCTTTTGGTGAATTCAAGGGCTATGTGGAAGTTTTCCTGTTCTGATACTTAAACAAAAGCAGTCTGACTGAATTTTAGAAGCAAATGAGAACCACTGTTATTCCCGTTCCTTCCTTTTAGTTACATCTTTTACTTTTTTATTAAAAAGGATTGAGAAGTTCTTCTCTGAAGGTTTTCAAATATGCATAGAAATGGTAACAAAGGAAAGTAAGAAGCAGAGAGTCTCATAATCTTTTTCCAAACTTAAAAAATGGTGGAAAACAAGCTGCTTTGGAAATATATATAAAAAATGAAGTGATCTATTAAATTTAAGCTAGAAATCTAATATGAAGGGGTCCTGAGAAAAACACAATTGGAACAAATGTTAAAATAATCAGACTCGGAGAAATTTTTACAAAAAATGTATATTAAATTATCTCTTGACCAGCTGGCCAGAGATTAAATGCTAAATCCCTCATCTCTATGCAATATTCAATGCCCCAAATGCGAGCGGGGGGGGTCCTAAGGAAACAAATCACAAGGCTTAATAGGTCCTTAGAAAATACATACAAACCAAAAAAACTTCAGTTTTATTTGGTAACTTAAAGGTATTGTTACCTAGCAAGTAGAGTCAGATAGGATAAATTCTGGATCTCTAAGTTTGACAAAAAATTAGTTGATATAAACAGTGTTTTAATCTCTAAAATGGAAAATACTATAATATCTACTACTTAGTATTCTCAAAAGACAGATGTGAAAAATAAGTGCAAACAACCAAATTAAAAGTAAAGTATCTAGCATAGCATTGGATGCATAATAACATACATGATCTCCTCCCTTCTCCTCCACAGTGTCTCCAATGAGTATGAAATACAGATAAATGTAAGAGCTGTCAGCATTAATGTAGACAACCTATTGCCCAAAGAACTTTTGCACTGAAAGGGACCCAAGGAAGAACTGCCTCTAATTTCTCAATCAAGAGGATCATCCAAAAACAGGGCACTAGTCATTTGATATTAAATATTATGCTGAACCTTCAACCTCCCTTTCCCTGTCTCCTCTAGCTAAAACATTCTCAGTTTCTTTAGCTACATTTTATATCACGATTGGCACCCTCCTAATCAATGTGCTCACCCTTCTATTGACATTACCATTATTTTAAGATCCTTCTGAAAATGTGCTCCATTTCCCTTCCCACTCTTTTTTTAATGAGGCAACCAAAAGGAGTCTTCCATTACAGCGCCTCTTTCATCTCCTCTAGACAACCAAACCAAATAGTTCTCTTTAAAATTTTTAAGATATATTTATTTATTTGGGGGACAGAGAGAGACCGAGAGAGCAAGTATGAGCAGGAGCGGCAGAGGGAGAGGGAGAGAGAATCTTGAGTGCACTCCACACTGAGCCCAACTGAGGGCTCAATCTTACAACCCTGAGATTACAACCGGAGCCAAAACCAAGAGTCGGATGTTTAACCAACAGCCCCACCTAGGCGCCCCTAAACCAAATATTTCTAATGGCCACTCTTCATTCCACTATTTCAAAATTTATGGGACAATTCTGGTTCATTGTAATCCCAGTTCTTTAATGACTTTTAAAATTTCAACTTGATTCCTCTTCAGCTTCTGAGTATCCAAAAAATATATATTTTTTATAGTCTCTTGTTATCAAATTACTGTTTCACGTCAAAATTCTATTTAATTCAACAAATCTTAGAAAAGAGTATGCTTACTAACAACATAAGTCAATTTTTTTAAAGATTTTATTTATTTATTTGACAGAGATCACAAGTAGGCAGAGAGGCAGGCAGAGAGAGGGGGGGAACCTGGCTCCCCACCGAGCAGAGAGCCCAATGCGGGGCTCAATCCCAGGACCTCGAGACCACGACCCGAGCTAAAGGCAGAGGCCTAACCCTCTGAGCCACCCGGGCACCCCTAAGTCAATTTTTAAAGAATAACAGCTTTCCTACCAAATTTGGCACTATTTGATTTATTATTTCTAGGAGAAGATGAAGATGAGTCATTAGGACAAAGGAAAAGGCCCTATTTTAAAGGAAAAGTCAAGCCTTTGAAGATGTAAGCTTTACCAATATAATCATTATGTTATGTTCATGAATGAGAAGCTAGTTTTGTTTTCCCAAAGTGTTCCAACCCAAAGAATATGAACTACGAACATTCTTAACAGATTGCAACATTTGAGAGCTTTCTCCTCCACTGTTAGTATCTTCACATAGCTATCATATTGAAATATTAAGGATTCCAATTATTTTTAAAATTTATTTTAAGGAAATCTAACTCAAATAATTTCTTCAAAGTAACACATAACTTTACCTTAAGAAAAGGAACTAGATGAGGCTGAGGTGAAGACTTGAGTTCAACATACAGTTGTCTAGTAAATTCTTCTGCTTCAATTTTTGCATCCTGAGGAACAGGAGAAAGAAAAATACTTTTAGGTTTACAAATATTTTAACAGAGGAAAGGTATGTTTTTTATCTCATGATTGATGTAAGCAGGTAAAAGACCTACCTGTACTGTGAAAACTGTAAGACACTAACGAAAGAAACTGAAGAGACCACAAATAAATGGAACCATACACTGTGTTCATGCACTGAAAGAATTAATACTATTAAGATGTCCATACTACCCAAAGAAATCTACAGTTTCAGTGCAATCCCTATCAAAATACCAACAGCATTTTTCACGGAGCTAGAACAAATAATCCCAAAATTTGTGTAGAACCACAAAAGACTCTGAATAGCCAGAGCAATCTTGAACAAAGCTGGAGGTATCACAATTCCAGATTTCAAATTCTATTACAAAGCTATAGTAATCAAAACAGTATGGTACTGACACAAAACAGACACAGAGATCAATGGAACAGAATAGAGAGCTAAGAAATAAACCCACAAATTTTATGGTCAATTAATCTACAATAAAGAAGATGAGAATATACAATGGGGAAAAGATAGTCTCTTCAATAAAGGGTGTTGTGAAAATTGGACAGCTGTATGCAAAAGAATTAAACTGGACCACTTCCTTAAACCATACCCAAAAATCAACTCAAAATGGATTAAGGGCCTAAATGTAAGGCCTGAAACTATAAACGTCCTAGAAGAAAACACAGGTGGTAACCCCTGGACATTAGCCTTAGAGTATTTTTCTGGATATGCCTTCTTAGGCAAAGGAAATAAAAGCAAAAATAAACCATTGAGACTACATCAAACAGAAAAGCTTCTGCAGAATAAAGGAAACGATCAACAAAAAAAAGGCAACTTACTGAATAGGGAGAAGATATTCGCAAATGACATATCTGATAAAGGGTTAAAATCCAAAATACACAAATTCATAAACTCAATTACCAAAAATAATCTGATTAACAACAGACTGAGGACCTGAATAGACGTATTTCCGAAGAAAACTTAAGATGGCTAAAAGACACGTGAAAAGATACTCAACATCACTAATCATCAGGGAAATGAAAATAAAAACCACAATGATATATTACCTCACACCAGTCAAAATGGCTAATACCAAAAGGATAAGAAATAACAAGTGTTGGCAAGGATTATAGAGAAAAGAAACTGTTGGTAGGAATATAAATTGGTGTAGTCACCGTGGAAAACAGTATGAAGGTTTCTCAAAATTTTTTAAATTGAAATAACACACGATCCAGTAATTCTACTACTGGGTTATTTACCCAAAAAAAAACAAAAACACTGATTTGTAAAGATATATGCATTCCTATGTTTACAGCAGCACTGTTTACAATAGCCAAGATATGAAAGCAACCTAAGTGTCCATTAATAGATGATTAGATAAAGAAGATGTGGTATATGCATACAATAAAATATTACTCAGCCATAAAATAGAATGAGATCTTGCCATTCACAACATGGATGGACTTAGATGGTATTAAGCTAAGTGAAATAAGTCAGACAGAGAAAGACAAATACTCTAAGATTTCAAATATATGTGGAACTTTAAAAAAATAATACCAACAAACAAAAACAGATACAACACAGAGAACAAACTGGGGAAGGGAGTAGGGAGATGGGCAAAATAGGTGAGTGGTTAAAGAAGAGCAAACTTCCAGTTATAAAATAAGAAAATCAGAGGTATAAAAAGTACAGCTTAGGAAATATAGCCAATAATATTGTAATAACTTTTTACAGTGACAGATGGTAACTATGCTTATGCCATATTTTGTAATGTTTATAATTACCAAATCACCATGTTCTACACCTGAAAGTAATATAATATTTATGTTAACTATACTTCAATCAAAAATTAAAAATTTAAGTTAATTGAAATTTTTAAAAATGCTTGGAAGTTAAGTTAAAAACTTACTTATAGGACTTATAATTTTAAATATCCAAAATAGTTTTTCCAAGTTGAAAACTAACCAATTCAAATGTGCTCTATTTCTAACAAATTATAGGTAGCATAAAAAACAGTAGTAAAGATGTTTTAATATTTATAAATTATATTTGTTTTCCAGTGCAATATTTGAAATATACACATTTTCTGCTGGGAAAAAGTGACCATTTTTATACAAAAAATACACAAAATTCTCATTATACAGTCAGAGAAATGTGTAGATTTTAGTACTTAAAAAAAAACCAAAACAGTGTGTGTCGATTACACCCTCAGCATATTTCTTAAGCATAGAATATGCAACATTTGCTAATTTCCACCTTCATCTGCTTTAATGTACCTAAGCAATTTACCTGCAAGAGGATATAAAAAGTGAATGATGTATAATTTAATAGCTAAAAAACACAGCATCTTGGAACTTGGGAACACAAAGATCATTATATTTATTACTCTGCCCATCTTATAGAAAAGGAAACTAAAACTTAAGAAAGTTAACTTACTTCCACAGGTTACAAAGTATGTTGTTTGGACTTAGAGAACTGAATTTCATTATTTGTTCATAGCCTGGCTTTCTGGCATTTGCAATTCTATTAACAATTTTTTATTTGACCAGAGTCAACTTTCTGTCCGAGGCTTTTTTTTTTTTTTTTTTTTTAAGATTTTTTAATTTGTTTCAGAGAGAAAGAGTACATGTGGAGTGGCAGAGGGAGAGAATCCTCAAGCAGACTCCCTGCTGAGCATGAAGCCTGACATGGGGCTTGATCCCACGGCCCTGAGATCATGATCTGAGCCAAATTCAAGAGTCAGACACTCAACCAACTGAGCCAACCAGGCACCCTTCCCCAAGGCCCTTTTTAAGCTACGGCATATATGAGTAATATAATAGATTTACTTGTTTCAGGTTTATTATCATTACATATTAAAAAGCAAAAGCTTACCCCAAAAAATCCATCTATAATAAACCTCATTTAAAGATAAGTCCCAGGGCGCCTGGGTGGCTCAGTGGGTTGAGCCGCTGCCTTCGGCTCAGGTCATGATCTCAGGGTCCTGGGATCGAGTCCCGCCATCGGGCTCTCTGCTCAGCGGGGAGCCTGCTTCCCTCTCTCTCTCT